CCCAGCCTTCTCTGCTAAAGCAGCTTGTGGATTTGAACTGCATGCCTTTGGGATTGCCGCACAGATTCTTACCACTAGGACACTGTTAGGATTTGTAACAGATCATTGCATCCCTGGTGTTATGTGTCCCCTGGTGCGGTCCCTGAGGGGTGGCATGCTGCTAGCCCAGGTGACTCCTCTCCAGCAGTTTGAATCCACTGGTCACTAGTGGGAAAGGGTGGACCGCCCTCTTCCAGAGAGGTACAACCTCCTGCAAACCTACCTCAATGTCAGCTCTGAGCTGGTCCTGACTGGATGACAATAAGTTGTTCATCTCTCTCCCTTTTTTAAATAGTTGAGTGACTAAAATGCTACCGCTTTGGGGCTGCTTACAAAGGAGTAAGACATTTCAGATTGGCAAATGGACAATTTGAGGGCAAAGCATTAAGATTTGCGATGTGTGTAAACATACAGAAGAGGACAGAAGAGGGCAGGTAGGCAGCCGCGGTTTGTGGAAATGGAATGGTGTGCTAAGTCTCAGCGGTAAGCAGGTGTTTGGGGATTTAGGACGTGGACAGAAGAACCTTCCATGCAAAGGGAATAGCATGTGTGAACAAACCAACAGTGGCCACTAGTCGATTCCGACTCACAGAGACTCCGCAGGACAAAGCAGAACCATGTCTGAGTCTCTAAATCTTTACAGAAGCAGAATGTTCTATCACTCCTCTACAGAGCAGCTGGTGGGTTCAAACCACTGACCTTGTGGCTAGCAGTCAAATACTTTAACCACTAAGCCACTGGAATCCTCTGCAAAGTAACCTACGTGTCACAATTGGTATCAACAGCTCAAACTCTTTGCCATGGATTTAGAACCAACTCAGATCTGCCTCAGATTTCAGAGGCTGTAAATGGAACAGGAGATTGTCTTTCTCTTGTGGAGCCACTGGTGGATTTGAACCACTAAACAAGAGTGACCTCTGAGTTACCCACACATAAATCTCTACAGACTAAGCCAGGGGAGCTCAGTCTATATGCAAATGAAGTGGGAATGCAAATTAGGGTGAGGAGAGGCTTAGCCCTTGTAGTTTGCTGAGATACTCAGGAGGTGGCCTGGGAAACTGAGCTTAGTGAGGACATTTGTATAACTTCTTAAAAAGAAACCAAGGTGCAGGGGGATGTGCAGAAGAAGGTGGATTTCTCTGACGTTTTAGTGGTTTTTTTTTCTGTCTTCCAAAGATAAAATGGTAATAAAATAATGTAGTTATAATCTCTTTTAAATGAGGGGAGCGAATGAATGAATAGAACCAATCTCTTTGTAAACCTTCACTAAAATAAAAAAAAATATATATTATGTATATATTATATACACATATACATATAAATAAGTAAAGAGTTTTCCTAAGACACATGGGAGTTTGGTGAAATGTTTTTTATAGTTAGGGACCCAAGGTATGAAGAGGTTTGAAGACTTGCCAAAGGCCTCAGGCGGGCGTCGTTGTCCTGGAAGTGAAGTGAAGTGGACATGAAGTCTGTTCGCTCAGAGTCTGTCTCTCTATTCAGCCCTCCTAGTGCTACAAGTTGCAGAGGACAAATCACTAGATGTGTTTAATCTTAGTCCATTATGCTTTCTCCACATTTCCTATTTCCCAACTTTCTCCCTGCTCCAACCTTGTCAAACACACTGGTTAGATTTTCTCTCAATCCCAACATCTTGTTCTTCTCAGAACCAGTCATACCTCATTATTCCAAGGAAACAGGATGTGCCACAGTTAATAGAAGAGAATTTAGTGAAGGGATTTGTCATAGGGAGGATGCAATGATGGACACTGTCAGCTTAATGGGACCAAACAACAACAAAGCTCCCAGTGATGGTGACAGCAGGAAGATGTGACTGTTGATGACCCTGGAGGGAAGAGGAGGCAGAGGTGTTTTTCCCAGCCCTGATGAGGGCTGGGGTTGTGGTCAGAGGACCACCTTTCAGGACCTGAAGTCAAGGAGGGACCAGAGAAGATCCTGGTGCTGAAGGAGATGAGAGTCAGGGACGCACCCGCTGCTTGCTTTTTCTTACCTCCCGCATGTGTGATAACCATTGTGTAGCGTACTGGTGACGCTGGTCTGCGGGATCCGCCTTCCTGGGGCTCATACAGGCAGAGACTGGGCCTGAATGTCGACGTGGAAGAGCCAGTGCACACAGCCTTGAGTCCTGACGCCTTGCTCATGCAGTTTTCTGACTGTTAGATTATGGGCCATCTCTTTAGTGAGAGTCTTTCAAACTCTGATCTCCTCAAGACCTTTGAACTAGACTTGAAGTCATAACTTAACACCAAGTATGGAGTTTTTGGGTCATGCAAATAGTTAATGAGGTTACTGTCTTCCTGAAAGATTGAGACTTCAATTCCCTCATGCACCGCAGAAGAAAGTCTTGGAGTTGTACCTTTGAAACCCCTGCCATTGAGAACGATGGAGAACAGGTGTGGTGGACCACACACAGGGGCTCCCAGAGAATGAGACAGCTCAGTGCAGCTGGGAGTGTGAGGCCTGCAGGGCTGGACTCAGTCTATTCACTGAGTTGTCTTCTGGCCCCAGAGTTTAGAGTGTTGCTTGTGATGAACAAATAGCTAGTTTATGTATTCATCCGAGAAAGTCAGACTATAGGAAAATCATATCGTCTTAGAAGCATAATAGCATAGGTTTTTCCTTAAAAATCTAAAATACATAAGGTTCTCATTTTAATAATGGTCAGAGGGCAAGCTGGCTTTTAATGATTTCTTTTAATGCTTAAGAACATTAATAAAGTGATGGGTTGTGTAGCAGTATTGAGTACTACCTCCAATCAGTCTGTCCTCCTCAGATCTCCCTCTAATCTCCTGACACGATTCCTGCATCTCACACTGTGAGCTCATCCCCCGTCATGTTAAGTGTCTTAGACAAGATCCTCTGACAAATGTTTCAGTTGCAACCTTGGCTGCAGATCAGCTGACAGTGCTGCTGGTGTGGTGGGTGACATGTTGGGCTGCTGAGGGTCAGCAGTTCTAATACACCAGCTGCTCCATGGGAGAAAGACGAGGCAGAGGGTGGCCATTGGTGGAACCGACTCGGTGACAGTGGGGTTTGGTGTGTTAATAGAGGTTGTGGTCCTTGGTAGTCAACAGTTGGGTGTTTAGGGTAAGATTCTTTTGGGGTTTTGGTTGTTAGTTAGTTACTATTGAGTCTCTAACTTAAGGCCCTGTGGTTAACAGAGCAAAGGGGGGCTCAAAAAGTATGTTTGAGTCTATTGTGGCTATCGGGCCTGTCCAGCTGGTTGGCTTCTCTTATTCTCAGTGGCCTGCTACTTTGTCAGACACGATGCCATTATCTTGTGACGTGTTCAAAGTAAGTGAGCTGAAGTCACACCATCCTTGCTTCTAAAGAGCATTCTGGCTGGGTTTCTTTTAAGATTCATTTTCTTGTCTTTCCAGCAGCCCACAGTAGACATATGCAGTAACATCTGGGACAGAGCCTCTAATCAAACTTATTCATATGCATCTGCGAGATGTGTAAATATTGAGGCACAATGGCCTTTTGTCAGTGCAAATTGGATTTTGCTAGAAGTTAGGACAAACCTTTGTTGCTTTTAGAAGCGATTATTGTTGTTCTGTGGCATCCAGTCACCTTAGACTGATAGCCACCTTAACTGTGTGTAGTAGCTCTGACCTCTGTCCTGTCCTGAGCTAATCTCATCTCTGACACACCTCACCTCATTGCCCCAGTCACTGTGTCAGCCTATCTCCTCCACAGTCTTCCTCTCCTGTACTGTCCCTCTGTCCTTCCAAGCATGATGTCCTTCTCCAAGGACTGGTCCCCCTTGGCAACATGCCCAGAGTAGAGGCTGAGGACTTTGGGATTGTGGGTAAGAAGCTGTGCATCTCTAGGTTTCCTTCTCCAGGGCAAATAGAATCCCTGCTCTTTCCCCTTTTCCCTTCTCCCATCCGAGTCAAGAATGACACGCTGATAATAATAGCAACAGCCACGATGGCTCCCTGGTGGGGAGCGTGTGCCAGGGACAGTGCAGAACTCTTTACTGCATGTGGCCACTAAATGAGCATCCGCAGAGGTGCCACGTTCTCTGATTGTCTCCCTCTTTGCAGATGGAGAGCGCGAAGCTCAGGGACCTTGCCTCTTTTCATCTAGTCAACCATTTCTAACTGTTGACGTATTGAAATTAAGTCCCGCCATCAGACACCCACGTCCACTCCCTTGTCCCCTGAGATGGAGACATGCGTCTCGATGATCAGTCTTTCTCTCACCTCCTCTAGAACTAGAAAACAAACACACAGCTACTGAACCAGTCTTCTCCCCGGCAGCCCGTGGGTTATGAGGAGAGCTGCTCCATGGGGTCTCACTGGCTATGACCTTGACGGATGCAGAGTTCCAGCTCGCTCTTCTGTGGTCCTGCGAAGTAGCCTCAGACCACAGAGTGTCGCGTTTGCACTTGTTAGGTACATTTGAATTAGTCCTGCTTCACAGTGACCTGATAACCAAGGACTGAAGTGTTGCCTGGACAGGCCCCATCTCCACAATAGTGACTAAGTCTAGGTTGATAGTCCAGCAAAAACCCTTTGGACCACCCAAGGTCCCCAGAAATGACACTTGTAAATTTCTGGTGAATCAATTACCAGTGGTTTGAGATCCAGGCTGAAACATATGTCCATGGTCACATCTAGAATAGGATCTGGTTGGGGTGTGGTAAGATCTGCGGAAAGCTTGGCGAGAATTTGGAACCCTGGTCATGTGTGTTGGAAGGGGTCATGTGAAGCCATGGTCATTCTCACTCAGACCGAGGTCAAGGTTAAGCATGTCATGATAACTGTTGGTGGCTGTGGTCTGTGGCTCCCTAGATGGGATCTCAGAGTGACCATGAAGTCCAGGTGTAGGGGTGGTTTGATATAAAGAACAATCAGGGCAGTAGGAAGAGCATAGCTCCTGTTGCCCTCTGGCCCTCTCGTCTGGACACTGACCTTCTTGTTTTGCTCTCTCTCCAGGGTGACCGAGGTACACCTGGGATCCCTGGCTCTCCTGGCAGCCGTGGTGACCCTGGCATTGGGATTGCTGGCCCCCCTGTGAGTACTTGTTCTCAGACTCAGCAGGGCCCCATCTCAGGGACTCTGCTCTTCTTCCACATTACCTGGTCCCAGGGCCAGCTGAGCTGTGTGTGTGTCTGCTTTGCCGATGTTGGTACTGAAACTTGACATCCTGTTAATGGAAACAAGGCATTTGAGGAGACCAAGACTCCTTTGTCTGACTAAAAAGAGAAATGAGAGAATGAAACTCAGCAAAATTAAAACTTGGCAAAAGCTGAGTGATAGCCAGTGACTGACTGGGGAAATGAGAACAATGTGCATTCATTAATTTTAGTCCAAAACCAACAGACAAGCGTTTATTACCTCTCTTCTTCCAGTTAATACAGGTGAAAAGAAAAAGAAAACTGAGGGAAAAGGAGGATTTTTTTTTTTAATTAGAATTTGAGTGAAAGTTTCCAAAGCCTTTCTGGTTTTCATTCAATCATTCATACGCATTTTGTTTGGAGCATTAGTTATACTGCCCACAATGGTCATGCCCTCATTTATCTTACCTTTCCTTTCTTGCGTCTGAATGAAGGTTAGGCGCTCTGGTGGCCTAGTGGTAACAAGCTGTGTGACAATCCTGAAGGCATGCAGTTTGAATCTCCTAGGATGGACCATCTCCTCCGTGTAATTTACTGTCTCTGAAAACCTGCTGGAGGGTCAGCTGTGGGCCAGCTCTTGACTCAATGCCACACAGCAACAACAACAGCATTATCTATTTATTAATGTATTGGCTTTTTACGTCCTCCCTTGCCATCCCTGTAGCCATGCAGAAATGATTCTCTGTGCGTGTGGACTTTTCCTCTACTCTACAGTGATGGTCGTACAGTATTTGTGCTTTTGTGATGGACTTTGTAGCTTCCTCTAGATTCAGCCACACTTTGCTGAAGTTGTGGAATTCTTCACTGCTCTTAGTGATTCAGAGTTCCCCATTGTGTGACGCTATCCCTCATCCCCAAAGTAAAATCCGTCATGTGGTCCTTAAATGTTTATTTTTGTGAGTTATTTACATCACTCTACTAGGTGAGAATTTTTAAATCCCCTACAGTGTTGATTTGAAGAATTCTCAAATCTATGGGTTATGAGGGTCAGAAATCTCGGTGCATCTGGCCCCTGCCACTGGGGAGGGATGTTGTCATATCTTCAGTCAACTCCCTATGGAGCACCTCTAAACGGAGGAGACAGATTTCTTTCAAAGCCAGTGAGTCTGGTTTGAAATTGAGACTGATTTCAGTAGAGAATGGAAATGTGTTAGAAATATCTTTTAGTAGAGGATTGTTGTTTTCTGAATCTCTGACTCCTTGCTGCCCATTTCCCCACCTTGTACCACAAAGTATTCTGCCCACTAAATGCCCCTCAAAAGAATAATTCACAAGTATCAAGTACAAAAAGCACTTTATGCCAGAGAATATTTATCCACATGTGGAGGCTTTCTCCCTCAGCAGAAAGGTGGCGAGAGAAAAAGAGCCCTGAGTCCCCCTGCACAATTGTTTTTAAGGCCTTCCCTGGGTGCTTCTGTCCAGGGCAGGGAGATTGGGAGCGTGGTTGGTGGGACAGGGGATCAGTCATGTGGGTCGGCTTTTGATGGGCTGGCTACTTTGCCCGCCTTTACTCTTCTTGTGTCACGTAGACACTAGTTAATTCTTTACTTTGCAAGAACAGATAAGACTTTACCTTTTCTAAGCTAAGAATTTTTATGGCCTGCTTCTGCTTCTGGGACTCATGGGGTTTTTTTTTTGTTGGTTTTTTTTTTAATGGGGTTTATGCTGTCCCCTCAGAAAAACACAGCTTTATTTTTCTCTCCTTTTCCTCACTGATGACCTTCAGAATTTGGAATAATTTTTTATTTCTGACATCTGTTCTTCTGTTTTGCCTTTCATTTGCTAATGATACCATGCCTTAGTACAATAACTTAAAATTATATCTGCTCCCCCCGCCCTTGGAAGCTGTGTTATTTTGAAGAAGCTCAAACATTTATTGTGTTAAAAATGAGGAACAGTTAACCTGATCAGCTGGTAACAGAGGCTGGAGGCTCTCTCCTCACAGACCCCAGGGAGCAAGGTGTGGCGGGCCACTCCCAACACAGACACCCCCCAACCCCTCCCCACCCCTGGAAGCAAGGCTGGTGGGCCACTCCCAGTATAGACCCCAGTGAGAAAGGCATGGTGGTCCACTTCTGAACAGCAGCCACTGAGGAGCCCTGAAGCCCATTGCACTCTGAGGTGCTTTGTTTTGCCTAAGTGACATCAACTCAATAGCAACTTGATGTTAAGCCTTCTCCTTCCCACACTCACCATTGTTATTCTAATCATTGCTGTTCTTTTAACCCAGAAGCACAGTAAACTGTCCCTGTTCCACACAGTCTGAATATAAACAAGAGCACCAGGGCCAGTGCCTGCTTGCCTCTGTATTCAAGAAAAGCAGGTCACCCTACAAAGAAGCCGAGTAGGGCCGTTCTTCATCGGAGGTTCTTAAAAGAATAAACCAATTGACATCCTAGCAAAAGCAAAACTCATTGCTTGCAGGTCAGCACCGACTCAGAGCCGAGCCTCCAGCAGGATTTCAGAGGCTGTAAATCACACAGATTACCTCTTTCCCTCAAGGAAGGTGGATTTGAACTGCCTGCCTTTGGGTTCGCAGTGCAAATTCCCTTTCCTCTTCCCCCTGAAGTTGTCTCCCACCCAGAGCTGTTCTCAGGAGTCTTACTCACCACATCTGGCCCCGCCCCCATGACACCCTCCAGCCACTCTGTTATCAGGCACACAGACATAACTCGCTCCCTATAATGCTCACAAATGATCCCCTCACTTCTGCTCCTGCCCCTGGCCAGGAGCTGCTTCTAAGTGCTGTGAGACCAAGCTGGCTCTGTGTGTCCTGTCCCGCCCCCCTCCCCCAGCTTGTCCTGGATATGATGAAGGGAGGCAGCCGGACTCACCCCAGGAGGCTCGGCTCTGGGTCTAGTTTCTTCAAGGAATTTGGCCTCTAGAATTTGTGATGAACAAACCTTCCCACTCTTCCATGTAGCCTTTGCCTTTTGGCCTTTACTGTCTCTTGTCTGTTGTGACCTGAAAAGTACAGAATGACACAGGATGAAGAGGCTAATAATAGTTGAGTGTCATCTTTCTGGAGTCTTTGTTTTCATAGAGCCCAGTTTGCTAGAGTCAGGGTTCTGAAGGGCAGGAATGGCCCTTTAGTGTAGAGAACAGTTTGTCAGTGCCTTAGACCCTGAATCTGGGCACAGTCCCCTCCTTCACTGACTGTGTTAACATCCTTTAACATGTTCCAGTCAACTCTCCACGGCTTTGCGGAATCAAGTCTGCCTGGCAGCAGAGGTGGCCCCAGTCCCCCTGCCCCATTTAGGAGCCAGCTAAAACGCCCATGAACGTTGTCCCTGCCTAAGTGAGTCTACCTGAACAGTAAGTGACTTTCTCAGCCAAGAGGCTGTAAATCACCTGTTTTGTGTCTGGCCATCAACCACTCCAGCTTATTAAAAGCTTCCATGGTAGATGCAACTTTATTGAATTTTCATAAATCCTGCTTTTGGCCCTCAGCCCAGGATATTGCTGACCTGGGACTCTGCATGGGGTGTTCAGAAATGTGTGGAGTTGGGTTGTGGAGGGGGTGAGGACCAGGGTGGACAAGGAGGGGGGCTGAGTTCATGGAGTTGGGGTGTGGAGGCAGTGAGGACCAGGGTGGGCAGGGAGGGGTACTGAGTGCATGGTGTTGGGGTGTGAAGGGGGTGAGGATGAGGGTAAGCGGTAGGGGGTGCCAAGCTGTCACATTACAGGAGCACTTATTCCTTGGCCAGTGGCTCAGAGGGCCTGTGCTGGGTCCGTGCACATCTGCCTCCTCATCTCTAGGCCCGGCCTTAGAAGCTGTGTTATCTCTTGACTAAGGCTGAGAGCCTGCAGGATTCAAGGGCAAGAAGGTGACAGCTGAGAGCACCACTTAGGGAGGGGCGAGGTGAGAAGGGAGGAAGTGGGCGGGGAAGATGTGTTCATGAACAGGTAACGCTGAGGGCAGCAGGATTGATCTTCAGGAAGACCTCTGGGGGCAGAGCTGGTCTCAGAGCTGCCCCCCTTCCCGCCCCAGGGCCCTGGGCTGGGTGGTTTGCACACCAGCTCCTGCGTTATTGCAGGCCACTCTGTGGGGAGTCGACTCCCTGGTGCTTTTGGCTTGCCTTGCAAAGACAGCTCTTCCCAAATCACTCTCTTGTGGTGTCTGCAGGATGGCAGGATTTATTCGTTCCATTAACCTCTCTGAGAAAGTACCCCAAGGTTGGATGAGTTACAGGCTGTTCTGCACTTCCTCCTGTGACTTCTCTTCAAGGCAGTTGGAGCTGGGAACGTTGCCACCTTTCAGAAGGTTGATTTCCCTGCAAGCGCAGCACCTTCAGGCAGGAGCAGGGGCGTGGGGAGCCTGCCTGCCATTGCGGGGCTTGGCCCCCTCTGCGAGGTGCGCAAAGCCCTCTAGTCTCCAGGCCTCTAATCTTCCTGGGTTGTTGCTATTAGGCATCATCACATTGACTAAGACTCACGGCGGCCTATGAACTACAGATCCACAGCCTGTCCCAGCGTGGACCAGCCTCACTGTCTCTGGCACACTGAGTCAATTGCTGTCGTCACTGAGTCAATCCACCTCACTGAGGGTCTTTCTAAGCATGACGCCCCTTTCCAGGGAGTAGCATCTCCTAGCAACAGACCCAAAGCATGTGAGACAAGGAGGGAGACCTGAGCTCAAGACGTCATAAGCAAGGACAGGAAACCTGGTGGGCAGGCTTGACCCCAGGAGTAGCGTCAGGTGAACACCTTTAACCATATATGTTGTTGACTGCCTTCGAGTCAAGCATGACTCATAGCAAACCTATGAACAAAAGGCCTGAAGCCCCTCTCCAACTGTCCACATTTATCAAAGTTCATAGAGTTTTCAGAGGCGTGTTGTTTAGGAAGTGGATGCCACTTATAAATTTAACAATAAATAACAGAAAACCAGTCCAG